CCATAACATTATTTGTCTTCATGTCAACTTCAGCAGAATTGAAAGGGGGCCAGGTCTATGGATATTCAACAATAAATTGCTCGAAGATGCTGAATTTATAAATGCAGTTCGAAACATTGTCCAAAGATAATAATTTTTGCCAAACTTTACAGTCTAAACCATTGGTTTGGTGGGATTGCGCTAAAGTATAAGTTTAAGAGATGCGCTATCTATTATTCCTGTAAAAGTCTAAAAGGAGAAAGCTGAATATTTTAAACTCCAAAACATGTTGCGCATTGAATATGACAAATTGTCAAAGTTTCCAAGTCGGGATATCTCCCATATTCAAAATCTTGAAAAAGATTTAGAGATTTTTTGAACATACAAAATGTCAAGCAGCTATTCTGAGATCCAAAGTTCAGTGGTCTCTAGAATCGGATAAAAATACTTTTTTCTAAACCTAGAAAGAAGTAAGCAAGAAGCAAACTGTATCAAAGAACTTGAGACAGATTCAGGGACTCGTTCAGTCCACGGAGGACATATTAGATCATGTCTACAAGTTTTACTTCCATCTGTATTCAGCAGTAGAAACTGATGCTGATAAACAGAATGAAATTCTTGGTTTAGCAACTGATTGCATATCAGATGAAGATAAAAAAAGACTGGATGAAGGAATCACTGTTGAAGAAATTACTGTAGCGTTAAAAGGAATGAAGCGTCATAAATCACCAGGTAATGATGGGCTTACTGTTTAGTTCTACCTTACATTTTGGGATGTACTGAAACCAGTTTTGTCAACATTATAAATTGTATATTTGAAGAAAGCAGATGTCGAGAACAATGAAAAAAGGGTTATCAGTGTTTTCTTTTGAAGAAGGGAACAAAAGAGATATTCGTAATTATAGGCTCATTTCACTTTTGAATGTTGATTCAAAGCTTTATTTCACGCACACTGTCCTTAAGATTAAAAAGTGTTGTGTCTAGTTTTATTCTCACCCGAACAAACTTGTTCCATTCCGGGAAGAGATATATCTGATAATATCCACTCCATCAGAGATGTTATTGATTTAGCAGATGAAAATGAAGATAATGCTTATATTATCACTATTGACCAGGAGAAAGCATTTGATAGAGTTTCACATTCCTTTCTGTTTAAAACACTAGAAAAGTTTAACTTTGGTAATAACTTTGTGTCATGGATAAAGATTCTATACACTGACTTGAAAAGTAGTGTTAAAATTAATGGTCATCTTACACCATATTTCTCATTAAGTCAGTCTGTTAGACAGGGCAGTTTGTTGTATGCCATCATCAGTGAACCCCTCAATTCGTTTATTAAGAATAATGCACATATTCATGGCATACAAATTTCCGACAACTGCACATCACTCATATACCAACATGCAGATGACACCACTGTTACAGTGTCTGACGCACAATCTGTTCACAGTACTTTTCATACAGTGAATGAATTTTGCTCAGCTACAGGGGCCAAAGTTAATCTTTCCAAATCGGAAGTCTTGTGTGTAGGAACTAATCGCTTGAATCATGTTTCCTTCAGCATTCCGGTTGAAGTTAAAACAGATTGTGTTAGAATACTTGGCATTTTCATTGGCCCAGATAAAAATGTGTGACAACATTAATTGGAAAGTAAAATTGCCAAAATGAAATCATTGTTTGGTTTGTGGTCACAAAGAAATTTATCATTACAAGGGAAATCCATTGTTGTAAATACTTTTATTCTATCCAAATGGTGGTATACCGTATATGTACAACCAGTTCCCGAGTGGGCAATCAAAGAAATTGAATTGTGTATTTCAAGCTTTGTGTGTGGAATAGTAAAGTTCCACTTGTAAAACAATCCTAACATGTATTGGTCACTTTTATCAAGGCGGATTAGCCATTCCTAGCTTCAAATTCAAAATATTTTGCCTTCAGGGCTAAAATCATCCAAAAATTATTCAATCCACAGTTTCAAGCATTATGGAAGAATACATGTTGGTTGTTCCTTTTCAAAATACCTGAACATGGGTCTCAAAGCAACATTTTTTAGCATTGTTTACAATAAGGTATTGCTGACCCAGATACACCCTTTCTATGCTGAGGTGTTGTTAGCCTGGGACGAAATCACGTGCAGCAACAGACATTTTCAGCTAGACTGAGCACGAGGAGATCATGAACCAACCTTTATTTCAAAATCCAAACGTGCGTTTTTCAAGGAAAACACTTCTCTTTTCAGTCGTTTATTCAAGCTGGGTTAATTGAAGTTAAAGACATTTGTTATGAATTCATCCCTGGTTTTTATCTCGTTCCGCTGTTGTGGAACTACTTCTCCGAGGAAAGACAGATTGATATACCATGCTCAGTCGCTGAAAAATGCATATAATGTTACTTCATATCATCTCTGCCTGAGGAGGTGTAACAGCATAAATACCAAAGCACGAGAGATTAATAAAAATATTCATCATGGAAGTATATTGTTCTGCAGATAATAGGCAATTTTGACCAAAGAGCTTCTGTAAGGTTTACTTATGATTTGTTTTAAAGAGACTTTTTGTTAGCCCAACGTCTATAACATACTGGGATAAGTTTGCAATTATTGTGGATTGGGGATAAAACTTATGGAAGTGGGTATTTCAAAGTGATAAATCTGGCAGAAACAAATTAACCTTGATTTTAAGATATGTCATAACATAATATATACTTAATGACAAGTTATACAAGTATGACAAAGTTCCTGCACGGAATGTATTGGTAGGCAAGAATGAAGTTGAAGACATTTTCCATATGTTTGTATTTTGTGATGAATTAAATGACACTGTTGGTATTTTCAAAGAATTGTTCACTGAACTTTTAAAAAAACGTTGGTTACACTTTACAGCAACTTTACAAGTTGGTTTCCTATTTGGATTTCAATCAAAGAAGAAGTAAAACAAGCGAAGTATCCATCAACCTTTGCTTTCCATTTATAGAATCTCAGCATTTAAGAGAAGAACTATTATGACTCTGCAACAAGGTCGAATAGACCTAAATAAGCTGTTTAAAAGTTACGTCATTATCATTTCAAATTGTTATGGTCAAAATACCAACGTGACAAACAATCATATAAATTTATTTGAACGCTATGTTCTCCCACTAGATTGTATAGATGTTGATGGTGACAGTTTAATCTTTAAACATCCGTTTGATGCCTAGGAGCATCAGCGATTATTTCAATGTACATCTGTGATTATATCTCTTAACATATTTTATTGTACATATCAATGACATGAATAAACATTTTATTAAAGAGAAAAAAAAAAGGCGTTGGACTTAAGATCCAATGGACGTATGTCCGCGTGGGTTCGAACCCCACCCGTGCTAACTTCAGTATTTTTAATGTGTAATTATTGACATGAAATGTTGATTTCAACTAATTTTCTCAGTGAAACCATCCACTTGAGATTTTTTGAATGCAGAAAAAATGGGACTGCTATTGACATATTCTTCCTCGAAACATGATTATCGTTTTAGTTATTTTTCAAAAACAAAATGTCCAAAAGACTATTTCGAGCGTGCCAGGATTCGAACCTGGAATCTTCTGATCCGTAGTCAGACGCGTTATCCGTTGCGCCACACGCCCACTGGAAGTAGGGGCTTCTATTTGGGCTTTTACCCTGTGCTCTGTTTACAATACATTGTCTGGTCTCCTGCATGGCATTAATCTCTCATTTGTGTTTATTCTTGCACGCTGCAAGTGCTATGTGTTGCCAAAACATGTTTGCATTTCGACAAAGGTCAGTTCATTTGACGATGACATTCCATAACAAAACAATAAAACATAGGTTCTAGCGTGCCAGGATTCCATGTTGGCATCTTCTTAACAGTGGCCAGACGTCTTATCCCTTGTCAAACACGACAACACTGATAACAATGTGCATGCAAATACATGATTTTATTTTTTTTATAAAAGCAGCAGTTGATAGCACTAATTGTAGGTCTAAATTCCAGTCAGGGTAGGATACAAACGAGTTTAAGGACAACATGGTACCTCGAGATATAGCTTGCAAATGGGTAAGTTACATATAACACATATTCTTGGCTCATGGGCGTATGTCTATGCATTAGCAATTACCCGACACACAGCTCCACGTTTTCACTTTGAAAGACATCAGCACGGTGGCCGAGTGGTTAAGGCGTTGGACTTAAGATCCAATGGACGTATGTCCGCGTGGGTTCGAACCCCACCCGTGCTAACTTCAGTATTTTTAATGTGTAATTATTGACATGAAATGTTGATTTCAACTAATTTTCTCAGTGAAACCATCCACTTGAGATTTTTTGAATGCAGAAAAAATGGGACTGCTATTGACATATTCTTCCTCGAAACATGATTATCGTTTTAGTTATTTTTCAAAAACAAAATGTCCAAAAGAATATTTCGAGCGTGCCAGGATTCGAACCTGGAATCTTCTGATCCGTAGTCAGACGCCTTTATCCGTTGCGCCACACGCCCACTGGATGTAGGGGCTTCTATTTGGGCTTTACCCTGTGCTCTTTTTTACAATACATTGTCTGGTCTCCTGCATGGCATTAATCTCTCATTTGTGTTTATTCTTGCACGCTGCAAGTGCTATGTGTTGCCAAAACATGTTTGCATTGACAAAGGTCAGTTCATTTTGACGATGACATTCCATAACAAAACAATAAAACATAGGTTCTAGCGTGCCAGGATTCCATGTTGGCATCTTCTTAACAGTGGCCAGACGTCTTATCCCTTGTCAAACACGACAACAATGATAACAATGTGCATGCAAATACATGATTTTTATTTTATAAAAGCAGCAGTTGATAGCACTAATTGTAGGTCTAAATTCCAGTCAGGGTAGGATACAAACGAGTTTAAGGACAACATGGTACCTCGAGATATAGCTTGCAAATGGGTAAATTACATATAACACATATTCTTGGCTCATGGGCGTATGTCTATGCATTAGCAATTACCCGACACACAGCTCCACGTTTTCACTTTGAAAGACATCAGCACGGTGGCCGAGTGGTTAAGGCGTTGGACTTAAGATCCAATGGACGTATGTCCGCCAAGCGTGGGTTCGAACCCCACCCGTGCTAACTTCAGTGTTTTTAATGTGTAATTATTGACATGAAATGTTGATTTCAACTAATTTTCTCAGTGAAACCATCCACTTGAGATTTTTTGAATGCAGAAAAAATGGGACTGCTATTGACATATTCTTCCTCGAAACATGATTATCGTTTTAGTTATTTTTCAAAAACAAAATGTCCAAAAGAATATTTCGAGCGTGCCAGATTCGAACCTGGAATCTCCTGATCCGTAGTCAGACGCGTTATCCGTTGCGCCACACGCCCACTGGAAGTAGGGGCTTCTATTTGAGCTTTTACCCTGTGCTCTTTTACAATACATTGTCTGGTCTCCTGCATGGCATTAATCTCTCATTTGTGTTTATTCTTGCACGCTGCAAGTGCTATGTGTTGCCAAAACATGTTTGCATTGACAAAGGTCAGTTCATTTTGACGATGACATTCCATAACAAAACAATAAAACATAGGTTCTAGCGTGCCAGGATTCCATGTTGGCATCTTTCTCTAACAGTGGCCAGACGTCTTATCCCTTGTCAAACACGACAACAATGATAACAATGTGCATGCAAATACATGATTTTTTTTTTTATATAAAAGCAGCAGTTGATAGCACTAATTGTGAGGTCTAAATTCCAGTCAGGGAAGGGTACAAACGAGTTTAAGGACAACATGGTACCTCGAGATATAGCTTTGCAAATGGGTAAGTTACATATAACACATATTCTTGGCTCATGGGCGTATGTCTATACATTAGCAATTACCCGACACACAGCTCCACGTTTTCACTTTGAAAGACATCAGCACGGTGGCCGAGTGGTTAAGGCGTTGGACTTAAGATCCAATGGACGTATGTCCGCGTGGGTTCGAACCCCACCCGTGCTAACTTCAGCTTCTTAATGTGTAATTATTGACATGAAATGTTGATTTCAACTAATTTTCTCAGTGAAACCATCCACTTGAGATTTTTTGAATGCAGAAAAAATGGGACTGCTATTGACATATTCTTCCTCGAAACATGATTATCGTTTTAGTTATTTTTCAAAAACAAAATGTCCAAAAGAATATTTCGAGCGTGCCAGGATTCGAACCTGGAATCTTCTGATCCGTAGTCAGATGCCTTATCCGTTATGTTTCAACACGCCCACTGGAAGTAGGGGCTTCTATTTGGGCTTTTACCCTGTACTCTTTTTACAATACATTGTCTGGTCTCCTGCATGGCATTAATCTCTCATTTGTGTTTATTCTTGCACGCTGCAAGTGCTATGTGTTGCCAAAACATGTTTGCATTTCGACAAAAGGTCAGTTCATTTTGACGATGACATTCCATAACAAAACAATCAGTAGTATAGGGAATGGGGGTTTGGACCAGGTCCAACAAAAGCCTCTGCAAAGCCTTATTCCCCAAATAAGGCTTTGGTCGGACCCTTAGCTCTTGCTACCATTACCCCTACTGCTTTCCCAACCTATAAAAATTTCAAGCGACAGCGGGATACGAACTCCACATGTACGCGCCGGAGACATGGCTATGCCGTGTTGACAGGAGGTAACACTGTGCCGTACGGTACGATCAATAATTCTTCTCTTACAAATCCTCTGCCTGGCCCATCCCTCAAGTAGTACAAGTTCGGCTCGTCTGCTTTCATGTCCACTTTATCTATGTTGTAAGTTTTGACTGACCATATAGGATCGGTGGCTCGCTTACGGCTATCACCCTCGTGTTCCCCAGGCTGGTATAGATACCTCACTAGGGCCCTATCTGGTATCTGCTTCTCCTTCCCACGCAATGGAGCGGCCGACTCTGCAACTATTGATTTTAATTTTATAGCGTCTGCCGGTTTCTTGCCGGTGAGACGGGTGACTTCATGGTTGATTGCCGACACCACCTTAGGTAACCTCGTGACCCATTCAGTCGATCGCTTTTCCCGGGCGGCCAACTCCCTAGCATACTGATGTCCGAATAAGCGCTCAGCCAAAGTCCTATTGAATCTCTCAACTATGGCTTGGCTGCGATGGGCTCCGGCCGTGCCACGCCTGACCTTTGTATCGTGTTTGGCTAGCAGTTGTGACACGGCACCCATGAACTCCCGCCCTGGGTCAACTTGCAGCTCTGTTGGCCACGCCAGCGGACTGCGTTTGTATATGCGTTCGAATCCTCTGGCTACCTGGACCGAATCTTTCGTGGTCAAGGGCTCGGCTTCCTTGTAGCGACTGGCTACGTCCACTACGGTTAAGGCATACTTGTACCTCTTGTCGTGGGGTAGGAACAGTAGGTCTGCCTGGTGAACGCTATTAGGTATGTTAATACCGAACTTCCTTCTAGGCACGAGCGTGGTGGCGGCAAATAGATCTGCCACAGGGCTTGTTTTTCAAGCCACGCTTTGGCCTCCTCCGGGGTACTCGCGCGCCATTTTAGCCAGCTTATCTACAGCGCTAGCTCCTTTCCAGTACCCACGCGGGCTATAGTAAATAGCCTCAAACTTTCTCTGGTTCCGACATGTCGCCCATTCCTATTTATTTACCCTATGTTCTTGGTTCAATTTTCTTCTCATGCCCAGACGCGCACGTGTTTATCCCATCAATAGCTATCCAACGTTTAGTATCCATAGGCGACAGGGACGTCTTGTTTATTGTCAGTCCGTATATCTTATGGCCATCACTTCTAAGTGTGTTCATTTTATGTCTAAAGGTACGGGTCTTGAACAGGGCTTCCTTGAATCTGGCGTGTTTGATGTGTTGTTTCACCACGTACTTCTTAACACCCTTAGCCTTCCGGATCTCACTATTGTCGGCCTTCAGGATGGAGTACATCTTAGGTCTCAACCCTATGTACTCGGCTATGGGCGTGCCAGCACACTCGTCCTTCATCTTACCTAGGACCTTTTTATTTACCGTGCTGTGTATGGCATGGTCCTTGGGGTAGTCGCTGGTGTCGTACAAATCGAGGTGTTTTTTCATGTCCTCGTACACGTCCTCGGTTCGAATCTCCATCAGCAGGGAATCCGTGTCAGTGTACAGCACTTCGCACCTGTCGTCGTACTGTTTCTTAAGCTCGTTGTAGTAAAAGTCGTACATCAGGTGTTTGGATAAGTCGAGGATGCTCATCCCCACGTAAACAGGCCGGTTGAATTTTATGTGGCTTTTCTTCATGTGTAGGGCAACTAGGTCATCGGTGAATATCTTGCTACGGTTGAATGCCGGACTGGCTATCAGTCTCCTGAGCTTGTCTTCCTCATTCTCGACCGAACCAGCTTCACGGTCACGCGCTTCCTCAGGTTCTCCATAGTCTTACCAAACACCGAGTTGTTCATGAGCTTGTAGAGATTTTTCTCAAAGTCACTGGTGGCCAGCTTTCGGTCTCTGTGTTCATTCTGATGTAGGGCTCCATCCAGGGGCTCTGGTTGAACACGAGCACCCTGTGTATTTTGGTCAGCCTCATACCCAACGACAGGTACAGCTGTAGGTTGCGATAGTGAACGATGTACTTGGTCTTATTCATTGCTTAGGCACGAGTTTTTCAACGTCCGCCACCCGCCCACCTAACAAGTTATGTTGGTACTCAGACATCCAGTTCGGGTTAACCCTCATACGTTCGGGGCCAGGGGGTAGCTGTTGTGTGATGTGTGTAATGCCTTGGGGTATTCCAAGTCAACCTCGAGGATATAACCTTTGTTCGAATCCGGCGCGATGCTCATAACATCAACATGTGACGCCCATTCGAATCCCCCTGTGGGTAGATACTGGCTCATGGCCCAGCCGCACAGGTTGTTGGCGCCGAGGTAGAGAATGTGATTGGTTGGCTTGCTAGGGTCGTAGCCCTTCACGTATTGATTATTTGCTTTCGCGTATCGCTTGGTTGCCATGCAGATCCCGCCTCGCAAGCCTTTCTCAATGAATAGGTGCATGTCATAATCTGTAAGCAATTCCAACTTAACTCCGGTCTTTTAAGCAAGGCATCCCACGACAGACCTGGGCTGGTGTAATACCATGCGGGGTCGAGTTTATACTGCTTGAAACATGTCTGCCTAAACGTCTCAAACACGCCGGCTAACAGCAGTACATCTGTCCTCAAGTACAGATCGTGATAGTCACCCAGGTTCTTACAACCCAGTTTATTCCATACGCTAATAGCGTGCGAGTAATCGTCTTGGGATATTGCCGAGTCTGTCAGATTGCTGTAAAATTCTTTTTGATGGGGGTAGTCTGGTCTCGCGAACTTGGCCCAACTATCCATGTACTCATAGGGATACACACCCTTCCTCATAAGCAGGGTCTAGTCTCGGGTCTGTGTATAGATCGGTAATAGGAAGGTATCGTTGGCCTTGACCAGACTGTCTAGTGACGACTGGAGAAATTGAAACGAGTCTATGAACCTAAGGCCGCTTTAAGCTGAAGGAGATGTATCTCTCCATGTTGTTGGGGATGCACGTTATATTACCATCGATTTTCGCGATGGCCTGCATGATCAAGTGTGAGTCGTACCCTCTCAAGTTGTGAAAGACCACGGGATGTTTATTATCTTGGGGATGATTCTAAGCTTGAGGTTACACGCCAGAGCGGCGCCTCTATACTTACCGGTTATGTGGCAGTGATCTCTCACCGAATCACCGTTAAGTGGTGAGTCACACACGTGACAGTTAGTGCTGCAGGTGTGAGCTAGCCTGTCGTCTTGGGTCATACGCATGGGAGCGACTCTATACAGTGCGTTCCTAATAATTTTTTCTTCCTCCTGCAAACACTTAAGAAATCTTTCAACAGCGCCGGGACCCCTGTACACTACCGGATCTTTCGTTTCCCCGTCACAACGGACGACAATGTATCCAAACCCACAGGCTTCATGCTCTTGTGTTTTGAGTGTGGTTGGGGTACCCCCAACAACCCCGCCTGTGGGGATACCCCCAATATCAACTGGTTTGACCAAGGCTTCAAAGTCGGCGTATATGATATAAGGCACAGGCATTTGGTTCTTGTGGTTACCGAATTTTAGGATATTGTCACCTTCCTTAGGCATG